TTGAGGTCAACTAGATGGAGTTCTCTAACACTCTTAGTGCACCAGTAACAGACTTGAGTGTTCCTGCCCAATCCTGTGAGTAGGAGGTCTTCATTTTCTCAGACCCGAGGATCTAGGGAGATTCCAAAGGCTGAAGCTGCAAAATAATATAAATAAATTTGGTTGTGAGAAATAATCTAGTGAAAAATGCATCCACATCCTATATATCTTGCTATATAATTAGAGGACAAATTTAATTATATTGATTCTTCATGATACTTTAAAGTAAAAATCTACGGTTCTCCTGCTTTCCATGATTTCCAAGTGTTTTGCTGCAAGCTCCTTTTATTTTAGCGTAGATAAGGAATAAGCTTTTTATATAGTTGAAAAAGTAGAAGCTGTCACTGATGTTGACATACTGTACAGTGTGGATTTAGATCTTAACAATTGAATGGTTTGCCTACAAATGTCATCTGTTGTTTTGTAAGTGACTCACTGAGCCTACAGCATGGTACACAAATTCCATTTATTTTCTTTTTACCACAATAGCATTTTTGTGACATATGTTTATCTTTGCAGCAATAATTAGGGGGAAATGTCAGTCTGATAAATACCTAACTGACATGTTTTATATAAAAACAGAGAGAGTATTTTATTCAATAAAGTATGGATTGCAATTACTTTAATTTTACACCTTTGATAGAATTTGATTTTATAAGAATGTGGACTTTCTGAAGTGACAACTGTTTTTTGAAATCTGGTGTGTTCTTCCTTCCAGTTAAATACTAAGTATCTGAATGTATTGTTAACTGGTTTTCAAGAAATCATCCAAACCTAAATAAGCATTATTAAGGTACTTAGGAGACAGGTAATGTCTTCTAATGACCAGGAATCATTAAAAGCTTGTTGCGGGTGTTTTGGCTTTTCGTACCTTAATGTGTGAAAAACTGTAATGCTGCTATTGCTGTTACATTTCAGATGAGTGTAACTGAAACCTGACTCAGTTTGGTTAATTCAAAATTACAAATGGTCCTCATATTTGTCACATCATCAAGCTGGTTAAAAAGCAAAATTATTTTAGTGAAAAGCCAGTTTTAAGGGCAATCTAAAGGCTTTTATGCTTGAAATCCTTCCATAACTTCAGTATTATACTGGAATTCACATTAATTAAATTTAGCCCTGAATTTTGTTGCCCCCTTCTGATAATTTTTTCAGTCACATTTCAACTTTCAGACTTGCATTCACTCCCTAGCACACAGGTAAATGTTCATTTTGGAGGATTGTAGTTCCATCTACTGATTCCTTTACCTGATCAAAAACTCTTCTCATCTGCTTTGTTGACTGATGTTAACATTAACATCAACTGATGTATTTGAAAACAGACACCTCATATTTTCTTAATTACAATACAGCATTTGCAGACTTTGGTTAATGTAACTCCATTCTACAAATGTATTACTTCTCTCCTCAATTTTACGTCAGCATTTGTCAGTCAGTAGATGCAGGTATTTTGACCTTGTCCCTTTGTTCAGTTTGCATCATGTGTAAGTATTGTACAACACAGTTTACTTGTTAACTGCTTAAACAGTTTGAGGCAATATTCCTGTTAATTTTTAATATATCATTTTTGTATCCATAATTACCAATCCATATGCTAGCTACCTGACCTTCATAGAAATAATTATCCTGATTCGCAGAACTCTGGTAGCAAGCAATTTAGATTTGGTTTCATGTTAGTGACATTTCAGGGAGAGATTTTCACATGAGCACCTAAACTGCTGTTTGATATAGCCCAAGACAAAACATACACTGACTGTAAGATTGAATTTATTGTTACTTTTATATTAGCTTTCTGGATAATTTGCATATATTGTCACTGACAAAGCAGAATAGTGTTTTCATTCTGCTTTCTCAGATGAAGTTCTGAGATGACTTTTGTAGAGCAGAAGCTGGTTTTCTCCTACTTTCCAAGTACAAGATCTGTACTCTCATCCCATCTCCCAAACAAAATTAATTTTCAGACATTATCTTTTTAAAATTACTTTACATCAGTAATTCTCCCATCATGGCTACAAAGCTACATTAAGGCAAACTGAAATAATTGCACAGCACAATACTGTTTTCACTCCCACGTAGTTAATGTTCCTAATAATCATCGGGTGATTTATTGGTTACTTGTGTAAGAAACTTTTATAAGAAGCTTCTATAAGAAGCAGTGTTCTGCATCAAAGTGAATTGGTTACAGTTGTGTGATTGTTTCATGATTTTTTCCTAAGCAAAGCAGCAAAACATGTTCCTTAAGCACGGCAACTAAAAGCCACCACATAATATTGAGGGGAAATGGAAAAATGAATGACCATAATTGGTTTTAGTCAGGGGAAAAAACTTTTATAAAAGATAACGGCTCCAAAAGGACACAATGGAAATGTTAGAGTTCAGTTGGGAGCCTTATATTTTAGTCACAGCAGAGGATTGGTCCCACCAAAATTATTCTTTTCTGGGAAATATGGCTTACATTAAAAGAAAATTTAAGCTGAAAATTTGCCACGTGTTCATTTATTTTAAAGGTGAAGTCTACATTGTGACACAAGGAGAACTGGAAAGTATTTTTTCCCTTCATTATCTCATCCTGTTTTCATATTTTGCTACTGTAAATAATTTAGATATGTGATACTGTATTAATAGAAGTGGTATTACAAAAATTAAAACCCTGATAAATAGAATATTACAGACATAAATAAGCAACCTTTGTAATAGTGTTGTATACAACTGACTCTTCTGTAGAATACTTGGTCAGATGTAACATTGCATTTTTCAGTGTTGAAGTACTTGTTCATGCTTTTGCATGTTTTTGGAAACAGCTGTTGCATGTGACATATTGGGAACTGCATATGATAAATGGGGACAGAAAACTTTGCAGAAAGTAATTTGCAAATAACTTGATCCCACAGATTTTAATCACCTGTGGAACAGAGCTATAAAATTGGGACAGAATAAGAACTGTCCTTAATAATTAGAAAGACTTGTCAATATTCATATATGGGTATTCTCATAGGGTATATCTCTGCCTAGCAAGAATCAGTACAATTTTTTAGCAAATACAGTCCGTCAGGAAGAGCAGCTACACCATAAAACAGTATCTCACCAAAAGAAAGTATTAAATCATGAGGAATGATACAATTAAGCTGTCTTGAAAAATAAATACACAATTAAGATGACAAGGTATTGGATTAGCTGTGAACTACTTAATGCTAAAAATCAAAGTAGTGGGTTTTCTTCATAAGGGAGTGGCTTGTAGTACAGTAATGATTAGAAGATGAGGCAGGAGCATTCATGTAGTTCATGGGGCACTTTGACACATCCTTATTTGCAAGAATAAGAAATTACAGGCAGAGCCTTAAGTAAGAATCCAACATATCAGTCGCTGCAATGACAGTCCCTGGATTTGTGTGCTTATAGCCAAAAACCCCACAGTTCCAGCTTTGTGGCTATTTTCAAGAAGAGTCTGGAATAAATTAGGCTAACTCTTGCTGAGAATGATGCTTTTTGCTGTCAGTTATCTCTGCCATAAGCTATGCTGAATTTGTTGTTGTGCATTTACTCCTACTGATTCAGTAGCAGAAGTCTCATTATTTGATAAAAATACAGTAGTTCATATTTTGGTTGGGCCGAAGAGCAGGAAACATGCATCTGTACACATCTGATTCTAGGCTATGGAAAAAAGCGTACCTCCTATGCATCCTATTAACTTAAATTGAATTATTATACAGTATTAAAAATCATTTGATATTATCAATTCCTTAATTCTTTTAAGTTCTGTTTGTTGTAATTGTTCTACAACGACAGTGCAAGTTGTAGCTTGCTCTGATAGCAGTTCTCTCTCTCTCTGTTCTTTGTGCCTGGTACTTAGACATGTAAGTAGTCTGAGCAGTTATTGAAATTTGTGACCTTATTTACCTTATCTTATATATAGGACTGTTGAACTAATTAGCAGTATTGAGACTTAACCCTTATTTTTAATGTAAGACTTTGCACCAGGTTGTCAGCTTAAAATTACATTTACGTTTACTTTCACTGGAGACCCTTGATCTGGAAGAGCCATAATAATGTGTTTTCAGCTGAAACATAGATTAGGATTTTAGTCCCTGTACTGAGAAGGAGTTTTACAGAGTTTTTTAGAGACGTCTTATTTGACAGTGAAAAAAACCCAACAAACCTCACAGAAGAAATCTAGATAGATAAAACAATTTAAAAATTGACCATGACGATAGTCTTAGAAATACCAGTCAAGAGTATCTTAAATAAAAATCACTGTGTTGTAGATAAAAATATTTGTGCTTGTGCAGGCAATATTTTCACATGAATAATTCTATATATGTTTTTAAATGATGTCAGAAACTTGTATAAATGTATTTTTCAGGGAGTAGTCTTTATGGATATATGGGTAAAAAAGCACAGATATGTGTGTTCTCAATACACAAATTTGTATTAGTATTAACAATGTCCTGATATTTACAGCTATACTTTAATGTCCTTCTTTTGTCCCAAGAGTGTATTCTGTTTTCTCTAAGGTATATGTACTGATTTTGATCTGTAAGTTTCACTGTAGAGCAGCAGACCAATATGTGCACTATGGAAGTCACCTGATAATTCAACCAATATACTTCAGTTATTAACAAAAGTAAAATAAATATTTCCCCATGTTTTTTTTATTTCCCTAACTCTACATTTCTCAGTTCTTAATTTCTCAGCATGAAACAAAATTTGTGGGAGTTTTTCCACTGTAGTAGAGTGTTTTGGATTGCAACAAAGAGTGAAGCACCAAGTACCTTTTTAAAAAGTGTATTTATTGCCCAATTTTGAAATCTCCAGACACTGCTGGACATTCTCAGTGTAGTGGAAATGAAAGTCCAGGTGTGACATGCTTTATCTCATGGATCAAGAAAATATTAACCTTTACCACTACAGTACCTAGAAAAGAGAATTACCTGTCTGTAATACTATTTCTACTTATTTTACAGTTTAACAATAACGCTCAGAATGTCAGTTGCTTTAATCATCTTGTCCAAGCGAATGTGAGGAACAAGAAGAAGTTGAAAGAAGCTGTCTATAAAATCTCTGCTAAGGGAATTACAGATTACAAAAAAGGCTTTAGCTATGCTTTTGAACAGCTGCTAAATGTAAGTATGAAAGTCACCTCTATCTGCTTTAAAGTGAAGAGGGACACCTTGCATGTTCAGATGGCCACTGCATGCTCCCCTATCATGTAGCTGAGTGATAACCAGTGCAATACCTGATTTATCAACTAAGTTTATCCCAACAATGTGTTGGTTTTTCTTGCTGATCCCCCAGCAGGTTGCTAACATTTGGGAATATATTTGGTTTTCAATGTGCTGTACCGGTTTTACTTCATTCAGCTAGTTTTTCATTTAACATGTGATTCTCAGTTGACACATAGCTGTGGTATTAATTAATTTGCAAGTAATTTTAAAATGGAAGGCTACAGAATGTTGCAGTATTGTTTACTATTTCAGTTTTACTACAGTATCTCCTAGAAAAGTTTAGTTAACCTGCAACTTTATATTTATTACATGTCATAAATAGTTGACTGTGCCTTGAGCGGGACAGAGGGAAGCAAATTTCTTAGTTAACAGAGGAATGCTGGGCACCTGAAAGTATTCTAATTCCTTTCTCCTTCCCATGCATAAAATTAATAGTTTCCTCAAAAACTAAATTCATTGTCTCCATGTTTTAATTACATTGTACTTCCTAGTTTGCACCCAAGCACTAGCTTTCTAAGAAGTAATGTTTCTCATTTACCACAAATGTTGGGGTTTAATTAGTCTTCTTTTTTAATTGCTTACATAGTTGTTTAGAAAAAAAGTTCTACATTTCACCTTCATGAAGGCTGTATATTGGATCTTCACCTTAGTGTAAATAAAACTATACCAATTTACAAGAGTTAAGGGTTTATCTTAATAAGTATAAACATTAGTATTTCCTCTTAATTTATCAGTTATGTCTCTCAGGGTATGAATGCTGAATTTTTCCTAATCTGCCAAGTTCTGGATCTCAGGGCACTTCCCTGCCGTTGTATTTGCAGCTTAGGGCTAGAGCTGATTGAAAAATTCCTTACCTTGTTAAATTTTGATAGAGGAAAAGAAAATGCAGTTTTTTCAAGGGTATTTTCTCAGCAGACCGCTATTTAGATGAGTTTATTTATTATGAGTTTATTTAGATGGATTTGGTGGGGAAATGATTGGCTGCCCTCTGCTGATGGTTATATAAAACTGCAAACAGGCTTTTAAAAGCTATTGGTCGTTTTCAGACCAGGCTGAATGGCATTTCTCCTTTTTCTTCATTCATCTCGTTCAGAAGTAACCAGTAAGAGGCAAGAAACTTAGCCAAAACCAGCTTGTTCCTCATAACATTTATATTGGATTACCATTATGTATTACATCAGGTGCAGCACCAGATGTACTGAATGTACAGGCAGTCTTAAGAAGATCTGAACATGGGGAAAGTCTCAGGATGGACTCATTTCTAGGACTAAAAAAATTGCTTAAATAAATCATTGGAGATCAGTGTCATAGTAGGACTGTGTCTCTCCTAACTGGAGATGAAGATGATAATCTCTGCATGCCTGTAAATTCTGGCGGGACACTGTGGATTTGTGTATCAAGGAAAATTAAGAGATTGCACTAGGTTATAGAAGTAGAACCATCCTCTCCAGATATTGGCAAATCCATCTGGCAGAAAGAGTAAAGGGCTGGTGATGGAGTTAGTGCTAGACTTTGGTGACGAGACAATATAATAGAATTATATAATACAGGTTTACACAAATAATAAAAAATACGCTTTGAGGTAGTTTGCAGTTGTATATTTATGAATTCAAACAGTCCAATTGCTTTAAGGTCCATGGAAATGGAATATTTTTTAACAGCTCAGATTTTCATAATAATTCTGTGGGTACTGTTTCTGGATGACAGTTATTTCAAACAATTTTCCTGAATACCAGTGTAATATTTCACATGTGCCATGAAAAACGTACTGACTGATGTGTTGCTAGATGGAAATAGACACTTCAGGTTTTTTCAGCATACTAATTTAAGTTATTTTCTATATCTGGATTCCATCGTTTTCATGCAGTATTTCTCCATTATTTATTGTTATATTAACTTGCAATTTCTTTGAAAATAATAGTACTTCAGCTTCAGCAATTCAGGAACTATTTTCCCCCATACCATAGTGACTGCAGTTTGTTAAAAAAAAATAAAATATTGAAGTCATCTCTTCTTGATTTGAGTGTTTAATTTTTTATTTGGTTTACCTTTTCCTTCCTCAATGGCATGAAACCCGTAATGAAAAATGCATTCCTAAAGTGTCATGTCACAAGACATAATCCTGACCTGCCAATTAATGAGTTAATTTTAACAATATGAAACTTGTATGAAACAAAAACAATTTTAGACACAGTATCAAATAGATTGTCTTGCTTGCTTGTTTGAGAGAAGTTAAAGGAAAGGCCTTTATCAAGTGCAAGAGAGAGCAAAAAACGAATACATAGACTCAGTTTCGACCTGTATTCTTCTGTGGTTTAAGCTAAGGAGCCAGTTTTTGTCTTGGGGAAGCTGCTGTATAGACAAATCATTACTCCTCAGCTGTAGTCTCTGGTGGGAAGGCAGAGACATTCATTGGCTTGCTAAGGCAAACTGTTCAGAAAAATTACGAAATTACTGTGGCAGCTTTACAAAATCACTTATATTCACTCCCAAGCCAGTATCCCTCCATCTTTGTGTAAATGGGAGGGGGGAATGATGTGTTGTAAAGGCAATTATGCCTTCCTCTTGATTCCTTGTAAGAGACTTATGTGTTAAGTTCATCCATCAGAATGCAAAGTTTTTATAGTGGGAAAATATATGATTTAAGCTTATTAATATTCAGATTTCCAATACTGTTTGTAGGCTGAAATGTTGGAATTTTTTCCATGACAAGACTTTAGATTCTAAACAGTGTAGTGTTAAGTAAATGCCCTTTTGTAAGTACTAGGAGACAAAGAGAAAACACTGCATTTTTCTGATACTTTATAAGCATATGCTGAATAAGCTGCTAGAAAAATCCTGATTTAATCAGTTAAAACAAAGATTAGCTCAAGTTCACATTACCCATAATGATGCTTATCTCAAAATCAGTAGGACATTTTTATAATATGAGAAGGTTTTGGTCCCTTTCCCTGTCATCTTTGGTTTCCTTCTGGTTTTATTTTGGACCATATATTAAATCACTGTAAGTGTAGGTGAGTTTATTTATGAAGTATCCAACTCTACATTTATTACTTTTTTAATATCAAAAAGATTGCAGCCCAAAGCAGTATCTTGTAGGGTTTATTTCAAAAGCAAAAAATGGTCATAAATTATTTAGTTCCAAATGTAACACAGTGTGCTGATGAGATTGGAGAGATTGTATTGATTTCACGTGGTTTTTAAGTGTTGTTACACATAAGAAAATCTTTGGACTTGTTTTTTGGGGTTTTTTTTCAAAATTATTAAATAAGTAGTTATTCACTGAATATTGAACTACCAATACAAATAATCTCTGGGGAATAATTGCTCATCTGTTAATATAGTGATTGCAAATAAAGTTTTTGTATTTTAGTTTTCTGGGAGCAATGTAGAACAGTGAAGCTTCAATATTGAGGATTATTGTCTGATGTTTGAGGGCTGGCTTTGGTGTTTCGATCCCTTTATTACAGAAGAATAAAGGAATCAAACCAGAGAGTAGAATGAAAAGTGACAGAGGAGAGTGGGATCATCTCAGCTGACCAGGCAGGTGAAGGTTGATTACTGTCTAGTCACAAAAACTAAAGCAAGGGAGAACAAAGTACTTTGTCAGGATGAGTCACCTCTTTATTTTCCTGACTCTGTAGTAAATTACCATAGCAAAATTCAGGTTTGTGGAAAGGGAAGTGAATTTATTTTACTGGGTCTCTAAGGATTTTAATCTATCACAGCCAGCTACTCAGAAATACCAAGGTGTGTCTGATGAAGACCATTTGCATGCAACCGAGAGGACAAGGGACTCTGGCTGTAAAATTCATGAAAAATTTGCTTTGACTAAATTCTTAAATTTTAGAGAATAAATAAAGAAGATGAATGTCACAGGAGGAGCCTATGGCTCCTTTTGGCAGGAGCCAAAATTTGTATTCATCTGTCCTTTTTTCTGGCTGTGGAACAATGTTTTTATTCCTTTGCACAACACACTGCATTTTTCTCAGTGGCTCTACTAGTTTGACTGCTGAATTAGGAGTCACAGGGGCTTCTTCTCAATTCTCATTAATCCAGGCTTGCTTTCCAGAAATACTGGAAACGTGTTCAGTTCTTCATCTTTGAGTTGCAATCTAATTAGAAATGTAGGTGATGGAGAGACCCTAATACTCAAGGCAGCCATATTTTGACTGTGATATATGTTGTAAATCTGATTCTAAAATACTTTTCTAAAGGTTAGGTGTTCATTTCAGTCTATTAATTTTTTTTTAAATGAAAGAAATAAAGAAGTGAAAAATGGGGCTTTTTTAAGGAAATTTGACAAAAATAGCAAATGCAAAAACTATTTCTAAGTTTATAAAATAGAGTTCTTTAGATGTACCTATAGGATGACTAAATTACCAGAGTTTTTATTTAAGTGATCAGTGAACTTGATAGTTTCTGTCATTAGGAGTCCAGCAGGGAAAAAAAAAAAAAGAATATTCAGTGCAAATTTCCACAGGGACAATAAGGATAAACAAAAAAGTAAGGATAAGAAAAACAAAAGAGTAAAAATGTTTAAAGCTTTTCACTGTACAGGTCTCAAGAAGTACATTTGTAGAGGAGTACTTTGGGGTTGATGTGATGAGTATGAGCTAAAGGGCTCTCCTTGTGTTGGTGGGGGTGAGAGGAACCACCAGATCTCCATTCCTCTCTGTTGGGCCAGAACTGAAGTGAGTTATATTTAAGTCTCATGGAACAGAGAAATTGTTTGGATTTGGTTTTGGTTTTGGTTTATTTTATTTTATTTTGTTCTATTTTTCATTCAGAAGGAGGTACAGAATGAAACTTTTTAAAGAGTTTGGAAGATTTGCCATTACTGTGTTAAAGCAGTAAGCATGTTGATACAAAAGCCATCAAATATAACAGTTGTTATTCAATATAGCCTGAAATTAAAAAAAGCTTTTGTTTGTATCTCCCTACAGCACAGTGTCTCTAGAGCTAACTGCAATAAGATTATTATGTTGTTTACGGATGGTGGTGAAGAAAGAGCACAAGAAATTTTCCATAAATATAATGAAGACAAAAAAGTAAGTGATATATGAAAGATTTTACTACATAAATTACAATAGCTCACAGATGTACATTTAAATATGGAAGTCAAATCCCTAAGGTTCAATACTAATATGTTTTTAACAAATAGTTTATACATGTGCCACATAGTGTTTGGGGATGTGCCTATACCTGTTTCTTTTGGGTTTTTGTTTGTTTGTTTTTGTTGGTTGGTTGGTTGGTTGGTTTGTTTTTTCCAAAAAAGCAGCTAGAAGTTAGATCACAATTCACCAAGGTACTTTAACAGTTGCCATGGATGCTTATGTATAAAGCAGTGAAAATCTTTTGTTGGAAATCCTCATATATTTTAATTTATCCCTTCCAAAGGAGAACTAGAAATGCAAGACACAATTTCCGTCTCGACCAGTGATTCACTCAGTGACGTTGTATGATCATTTTGTGTCTGCTTTGTAATAGTGTTTCACATAGAATGATATGGTGGGCTTTAGTTAATCTTCGTGTCTGAGTTGAAAGTACTTTTTAAACTGACAATTAGAAGGAAGAAGTGAAATTATAGCAAGTCATTGTGTGACATACATGGCTGTATTCCGAAAATATATGCAAAGATCCCTCTTCAAATTTGGATTTGGTAGCTTTTATTGTGTTACAATAAAATCAACTAAAGAAATACGTGCATAAGGGGAAAGATGTAGGATTAATTTCTTATTAATTTCCATTTAATTTGCTGTGTTAGGAGGATAGTATAGCAAAGTATCCAGTCCTAACAACAAAACAGATTTGTAGTGCTGGTATTTGTGGCCTTACTCACGTCATGCCTAATGGCTGATTATTCCGTGAAGTATAATAAATGAATTGTAGGATTTACTGATTTAAAATGTTTGTTTTACTGCATCCTTTAATGCTGTAAATTTTCACTGCAGAGGATTGTGTTGGTTTCATATATACTGTTATACATAATACAATACACTCTCACTTTCTTGAGAATGAGGGTTTGGTGGTATACAACAGCAAATGTATAATGATGATAATGGTCACTGTATTTGTTTCTGATTATTTAAGTATATTTTCTTATATAATTAAATGCAATTCAAGGCAAATTTGCTACACTTGATTAAGTTCTATGTGTTTACAAATTCAAATCTTAGTGAGCACTGATATTTCATTGCTTGCACAATAAAGTACTGGGTTGCTAGATGCCATCACTTAATAGTTTTCTCCAAGGTGACATTGGAAATAAAAGAAATACTAAGAAAGTTTTTGAAAGTATAGTTTGAAAAACCATTTGCTTTCTCCTTGTAGGTTTCAATCAGTAACAACCCTTGTGGTATTGAAGGGGAATTTATGATTAAAAAGGTTCCAAAGAGACTGAATCAGTGAATTTATTTTTCGGAATCATAATGAAACACCCCTGACAAACTTTCATAGCATTTTTTAAATTAAGACTAATACGAAATATGGTTGTGGTTCTGCTCTCCTTAGTAAGACTACACATGACCCCAGAATGATGATGTGAGCTCTCTTGTTATTCCCTCTCTGTGTAATTTAATGTTAATCTTAATCCAGTAAAGCATAACAACCTAATTGACAGACACATTCTAACATGAAAAATACACATATACTTTTAATTTTATGAAGTCATAGTCACAAACATAGTGTTACCTTCTTAGATTGCACAGTAGGCTACCTTCATATATTAAATGGTGAGATATTTATAGATATGTGGATCTAGATTCTGTTGTGAATTTATAATTTATTTCTCAAATAGCCCACTGAACATAAGACCAATTTTATAATTATCTGTAGAGAAGCTATTCAATATGAGTAAAGTGTTAAAAAGTTTTCTGTGTTTTATCGTAGTGGCACTTCATAGTAAAAATACCTATCAGCTGATGTCTTTCTTGCCTGCTTTGCATTTGTTTGAACATTTTTCTTTGTGCGTTGCATACTGTGTATAAAAGATTAATCTTTATTCTATTATATCACAGTCAGTCATTTCCCATCTTAGGTACACTGTGTTGCAAGCTTAGGTTTTTTTTCTTGTGCAAACAAAAGACCATTCATTCAGATCTATTAATCCTTGTTTTCATCTTCCTGATGAAAAACTTCTTCAGCTCTAAAAGTATTTTCTTCTTCATGTCGGTTACTTTGTAATTCCTTTGCAGGACAGAAGTTTCAATCAGGTTTTGGCCCATCAGATGACGTGACTGAGTACACTTGCTTGCAGTGCCCTTAGTGTAACCTTTATATTGAGAGGGGAAAGAATACAATAAACAATTGGGAACTACTAAAAGAGCAGCCTAGAATCTAGAGGTTAGGAAACTGTCTTCTTAAATTAGGGGGTTTAATCTGTTCTAAATAGCATATAGATATATTTAAAATAATTTTCTGTATTTACAAGTCATTTACAGTAGGAATATGAGGGTTATTATAAAGCTTGTGAAACATAATTTTGAGGAGGAACAGCCCTAGTTTTCATCTGTTTGAAGTGGAAAATCTCAGTTGTATTTCACCTTTGCATGCCTTTTTACTTTTATAAAGCCAGATTTTATTGTCACAGATTGCAACTACCTGCTGTGGCTGATATTTAAAAACTGGCATGTTTACCTTTATGGTGACATTTGGGGCGCTCACAGTAAATGTGTGAAATACCACAGACACGCTAAATTTCAGGAATGGGGTTGGTAAATTTTCATTTTATTTGCACTGATACTACAGATGGTTTCACTGAAGACAGCAACATAAATTTAATCGAAGTGTAGACGCATTACATGTTCTCCATCCTGAGAATTTTTAATTCAGTTTGAAAACAGAAAACTAACTATGGCTCTTTGGCGCAAATTGTGCACCCTGAAATCTATGTTTTGAAGGATTGCTCAACTTACATGAGTCAGAATAGACCTTAAATATATCTCATGCACTTTCAGTTGTTTGAAGTTTCTTGGCATGATGGCGATTTGCATGGGTCAGACGGATTGATCTGACCCACACAGGTAGGAGGATCTGACATGGCAGAAGAACTGTAAGATGGGTCCCATCCCCACTGTGTTAATTGTCATAATTAATACAACCTCATTTTGTGTAGATTTTTCAGACAATATCATTTGAGGGGAAATGTTATACAGAGTTTTCCAACAGTTCAGTTGTGTTAAAAAATATCTTTATGTGGTGGGCACAGAACTGCTACAGTGATAGAGGTCCTATGGGAGAGGGCTCCAGCTTGCTGTAACTCCACTGGGAAGCTTACCACTGGCAGCGACTTCTTCCAAATGAGACATTTTCGGCATGTCAATGATACAATGAAATATTTATGAGAAAGCACTTGCAAAACTTTATTCTAAAAGAAAAATATTTCCCGCAAAGAAGGGAACCATTTTCTTCGTTGGTTTGAATCCATTATTGTGCAACTGCAAGTCAGTAAAACAAAAAAGAAATCTCTGTTAGTCCAGACATTGGTGTATGAGTTATTCTAGACAAGGCTGAAAGTGTTAGCCCTAACTACAAATGACCATTGAGAAAGCCTGTGACATTTCCACTTGGGGTAGCCATGGGATTCTCATCAGGTGTCAGACTGAATGAATGTAACTTTCTAGAGCTATTCTCAGAGCCAGAAATAGAAACAGTATCTTTCTCCATACTAATATCAACTTTGAATAGACCTTAACAGCTGTCACAGTGCACCCCAACAGTTCTTCCATTTCTGAGTGTGTGACAGACTTGTGACACAGATATAGCATAAAGTAATGAAATTAAGCATTGAAGCAAGCAAAATTCTGGTTTGTATCTGAATGGCACGTAGCTTAGTTTGATAGATAAAATTTAAGACAGTTTTTAAGCTTTCCAGATTTTAGATTGTTCTCTGACCTTCTCTACATTAGCTTTCTGTGATCTTTAGACAACCAGACGCTAAGACGTTTCTCATTCCTCCTGATAGCCCCCCTGTGCTATGAATTTCCTTGGAGTGATGGTACAGGAAATCCCATGCAGAAAAAATCTCCAGCTAGCTGGTTAAACTGGCTCTCTGGCTCCTTCCCTAATCGCTTCTGTCTTAAGAGTGTGTCATCTTCCAGCTGTTAATTTTAATTTATTGTATGTACTGTGACATGCACAACTGCTAAAGCTAAAATATTCTGGGTGAAACTTGGGTCAGTACTCATAAATTCCACAATCCATTCCTTTTTCTTTCAAAGTAGAAGTGGAAACCATGTTATTAGAGTGCTCACTGAAGAAATATTCTTAAGATAAACTATTTTTTACCTTTCTCTTAGCTTCATTTATTAATGAAGGTCTTGCAACCTATCCACTGTCCCAGCTTCTGGGTTCCTAACGTACAGTAATGCCACTAAATTAATGAATTCAAATATTCCATATCGGCAGTCTTTCTCCTGTGACACTCATTATCCAGACATGCTTCAGTAATAGTCAAGCTGCACAATACTAAGCTATTTAATGTCACAAGTGTGTAAAACCGTGTGATAACTTTTTTTTTCAACTTTTTTTTTTTCAGTCTGACACATTTTTCCCCATAAACCTAAATTTTGAACCACCAGTTACCGGGTGGTGTGTGAAGCCCTCTTTCCCCTCTAGGACTCAGAGTACAGGATTCCATTTTTCAGAAATGTCTATATATTTTCCTTTTATCTGTCTCCCTGTAGGCCGATGTACTGCTGCCTTGTGTCTGTGCTGTTGGATTTTAGCAGTCTGCCACAGCCTTTTCCACTCTGTCTTTCACTGATCCCTTTACCTTGAGACTATACAACATCACCTTTAAGGTTTTTCTTAAAGGCTTCACTAAGGAAGTAATAGCCATTATATTTCTCCCTTTTTCACCTACTTTTCCCTTCAACTGACATATCCCCTGTTCTATATATGCACACTGGTTTGTTGGACAAGGTTACTGCAGACTTAGGAGGTGCAGAGAAGGTGCATTGAGGCAGAGAAAGGTTTATTTTAGGAAGAAGATCTGCATGCAAAAGAGCCTTTTCATGCATGTGTCCACAGGCACATTAATGTGTTAATG